ATATGCGCCTGCCAGAAAGAGACAAAGCAAGAGGGAAAGTGAGAAATCACTCCCTCAGGGGAGATGGCCACACTGCAATCCCTTCTCCTCGCTCTTCTTAGGATTTTCAGTATATATGCACATGCGCCCAGCATGCTTTTCAAGGCACTGGGTCTGGGACTCTTAACTGCCCAATTGCCATGTGGGATCTAGTGCCTTAACTACCATGCCACTTGCTGGCCCCAGGTCTATCTTTTTAACATCTTGCTTCTTTTTTTCCAATTAACTCTCTCCCCTATTAGCATATAACAGCATCTTTCTTTTAATTACATTATAGAATTCTAGTATGTAAATGTGCCATAGTTTCTTCAGGCACTCCCTAATGGCTAGACAATTAGCTTCCAATCTTTTGCCACTATGTACAATATTCAATGAATAATTTTTATTTACTTGGGTTCAATCTATCTATAGAAAAGATTTCTAAAAGTGACACTGCTTGGTCAAAGGGTGCAATGCATCTATAATTTTGGTAGATATTGTCAGTTTCTTCTCCACAGGGATTTGTGCCATTTTGTACTCCTACCAAATGTATGAGTACTTCCTGAAGAATATCTATAAAAATATACATGCCTGAAGCTCACCTCCCCAATTCTGGTTCAGTAGATAAGGGGATAGGCCTGGGCAGGGAATATTCTGAAAATGTTACATTTTTATTTACTATCCTACAAGAAATAAATAACATGTTTTTATTAATAATGGTGTGGAGAATTTCTCCATTTCAGCTGAAATTTATATGGAGTGGGAAAGTCTGTCTTAATGTACTTATTTTTACTACTAAAAGCATTACCAAACAATCTAAAGTCAGATTCCTATGTAAAATCCTGGTCAAATTAAATTCCTAAAGTAGAGTCTATGAGTCTACAAATGTATTATGGATTGTTCCAGCAAATAGCAGTTGTCAGCCTGGCCTGAATACTTATCACTGAGTCTTTTTTTTTACCTTTCAGATTTCTGCCATAGAACATATGCGCCTGCCAGAAAGAGACAAAGCAAGAGGGAAAGTGAGAAATCACTCCCTCAGGGGAGATGGCCACACTGCAATCCCTTCTCCTCGCTCTTCTTAGGATTTTCAGTATATATGCACATGCGCCCAGCATGCTTTTCAAGGCACTGGGTCTGGGACTCTTAACTGCCCAATTGCCATGTGGGATCTAGTGCCTTAACTACCATGCCACTTGCTGGCCCCAGGTCTATCTTTTTAACATCTTGCTTCTTTTTTTCCAATTAACTCTCTCCCCTATTAGCATATAACAGCATCTTTCTTTTAATTACATTATAGAATTCTAGTATGTAAATGTGCCATAGTTTCTTCAGGCACTCCCTAATGGCTAGACAATTAGCTTCCAATCTTTTGCCACTATGTACAATATTCAATGAATAATTTTTATTTACTTGGGTTCAATCTATCTATAGAAAAGATTTCTAAAAGTGACACTGCTTGGTCAAAGGGTGCAATGCATCTATAATTTTGGTAGATATTGTCAGTTTCTTCTCCACAGGGATTTGTGCCATTTTGTACTCCTACCAAATGTATGAGTACTTCCTGAAGAATATCTATAAAAATATACATGCCTGAAGCTCACCTCCCCAATTCTGGTTCAGTAGATAAGGGGATAGGCCTGGGCAGGTCTATTTTGAAAAAGCTCCCCAAAGATCACAACCCTGATTATCTTTGTTCTAAAAGGTATTCTAGTCTTGTTTATACTGTTCAAATCTAAAAGAAAGTCAGGGTTAAATCTTTAATCTCCAAAGTTTATATTTCACAACCACTCATTCAATAAATATACTTTCTGAGCGCCTATTATTGGCTGGGCACTGTAATATAGGACATAAAGATAAATAACTATCTTCAGGGGGCTAGCAGGTAATGTGATGGTTAAAGGTGCTAGACTTCCACATGGCTGACTATGGTTCAAGTCCCAGACCTGATGGCTTGCATTCTCACTTTCCCTCTCTTTCTCTGTCTCTCTCTGATCAAACTGGAAAATAACAATAATAATAATATATCAAGTTAAATAAAATAATTCTTTTAAAAGAAAACTATCTTCAGGAGTTCTCAGGGTCTAACGTGGAGAGATACAGGTATATAACTGAGAAACAAGGGGCCAGGCCAGCAGGTGGCATGGTGGTAAAGGCACTGGATCCCACATGGTCCACTGTGTGCTTTGAGTACCAGATCTGGCGGCCTAAAAAACACACTGGGCATGTTGTACATGCCCAAAATCCCAAGGGGAGAATGGAAAAAGGATTCAGCGTGGCCATGCTCCCTCATGTTCTCTCTGTCTCTGTCTCTCTGTGTCAAGTGTGTACACCCTATAGCCAAAAAAAATTTTTTTTTAAAAGAAACAAGGTGCCAGCTGGTGGAGTGGTGGTGAACGAGGCTGGATCCCAAATGGCCAAATGGGTGCCCAAAATCCTGAGGAGAATGGAGAAGGGAGTGCAGTGTACCCACCCCCTTTTAGGGAGTGCACTCTCTCTATATATATTTCTCTCCAGCAAATGCATGTGCACTGCAGCAGAAAGAAAAAAGAAAAAAAAGAAACAAGGTGTAAGTATTATTTTAGGATTTACATGGATGGGAATACTAAGAGGCGCATCCTAACCAGACTGTCAGAGGCTTGCTAAAGGTGGTGTCCCTGAGGTAAGTGGTAATTAAACAGGTGAAAAGAAGAGATGTACAAGAAGGAGGGGGCATTCTAGGTAGAAAACAATACATGCAAAGGTAGGAATTAAACCAGAAGGGAGGGCAGCAGGTGCAGTGGTGGTTAGCACTGGACTTCTCGCATGGCCATCCACGGTTCAGGTTCCACAACTGGTGGCTTGCTTTTTCACTTTCTCTTCTCTCTCTCTCTCTCTGATCAAATTAAAATAATAATAATAAATAAAAATAAATAATAATTCTTAAAGTAAAAACCAGAAGGGTTGTATATGTGTGTGTAACTGGAAGCATTTTTAAATTGCTATAACATGAAGTACAGGAAAGAGAACAAACAGGCTGCAAAAGTAGGTAGAGATCAGATCAGGAAGAACCTAGCATGTCACACTAAGAAGCTTGTACTAGGGTTGGCTCTGTGGTCTTAGTGGTCGAGGGAACTGGATCCCACACGGCTTACTGTGAAGTTTGAATCCTGGCTCTGGCAGCTTGAAAACATGCTGAACTCATGAATGTGCATGCCCAAATTCAAACAGGATAAAATCCCACAGGATAGAGAAATGGAGATGGGATTGTGGTCTCTCCACACTCCATTGAGGAGTGCTTTTCCCCCACCCTCTCCACTCCTCCTGCTCTGGGAAAAGCAGGAGCCTTCCTGGAAAACAACAACCAACCAACCAACCAACAAACAAACAAAACTTGGCTTTATTCTGAAGCAAAAATCACCAAGGATTTTAAGGCTGAGAATGACATAGACAGATTGCTGGAATTATAGATAATCAGGGGCCAGCAGGTGGTGTGGTGGTTAAGGTGCTAGACTCCCACATAGCTGACTGTTCAAGTTCCAGATCTGGCAGCTTGCTTTCTCACTTTCCTCCTCTCTCTTGTTCTCGCCCTCTCTGGTCAAATGAAAGTAAATAAATAAAGTTAAATAAAATAATTCTTTTTTTGAGAGAGAGGTATTTTTTAAATTAATTAATTAATTAATTAATTATTTTAATTTGACCAGATATGAATGGTGTGAGAGAGAGAAAAAGTGAGAAAGCAAGCTGCCAGGTTCACGACTCAAACCATGGTTGGCCAGTACCCTTAACCACCATGCCACCTGCTGGCCTCAAATAAAATAATTCTTAAAAAAATAAAGAATTATAGACAATTGACTTGAATGGCAGGCACATAACTGGAAAATGAAAGAACAGCTAGGAAAACTGATGAGTCATCAATTAGGGCAGGGATTAAGAAGAAAATGGACTGAAGGAATCTTAAGAGATAAAATGAGCAAGACATAGATATTAGATGTGGGAGTCAAGGTGAATAAAGGTGAATGGAAAGATTATTTCAAGGTGTCGTCAACCCACTACCAATAAAACACTAGATTTAAGCTACCCCAATTCAGCCAAATATTTTTTTTAATTATTTATTTAATTTTGTTTATTCATTCACTTATTTTAATTTGACCAGAGAAAGACAGATGCACAGAAAGAAGGAAAGTGAGAAAGCAAGCCACCAGGTCCGGGACTTGAATTGTGGTCAGCCACATGGGAGTGTCCGTCACCCTAATCACACACTACCTGCTGGTCCCCAGCCATATACTTTTATGCTGTCTCGGCATTTGTGAGGTCAGGAACAGATAATATAGAGCCCCAGCGACACACAAAGGCAGAACTAGTGAGCTTATCCTCATTAGTCATGTTTCAATCAAGTAAAACTACCATAGACAACCCCAACAGGCAAACGTAACATTACATGGTCATATAGCCGATAAAACCTCTTTTATAGTAACTCCTCTATTAGTGAGTCTCTTTACTCCATTTTCCTCTATGCCTGGAAAGCCAATGACCTAGACAACTGCTAATAACATAAACCACAGTATGGAGAAGGACATGTAGTTGAGGAGTAGCAGCATAACCAACTGCTTTCCCAAAACTTAACCTACCCCAACAGAAAGCAAGCAACCTTAAGTCCTGCCTCCAAATGAAGTCCACCTTGGAGGGTGAAAGAACTA